CTGAAATCAAGAGTCGGATGCTCGACCAACTGAGTCACCCAGTCGCCCTAGGCACAGGCTTATGAGCCACAATGATGTGAGAGCAGAGTCCCCTCTCCACACAGCAGCCCGTCCTCAAATCACCTTCACGTCGGAAAGCAGGGACGTGCCTATTCCGTAGCAGAACCTGGGCCCTCCCTGCTTCCTAAGTTGCTCTTAGAGCTTTGCTTTAAAGACCATCTGGTCACGCCTCCTGCAAGTTCCCTCAGCCACCGAGGAGCAGAGCCAGGCCTGGGGCCTGCCTCTCCTGGAGGCCTGTCTCACGCTCTGTGCCCCGCGGCCCTGCCCCGGCCCTCCGTGTCCCGGCTCTCTCTGCTTTCAGGACAGCCCCTGCAAACGCAGACTGGCACTCCGTGACCAATGGGCTGGCTGTGCCTCTCTGAAGACCTCCGCGCATGGGCAATGCTGGGCGTAGCCAAGATGCACTGGGACCCTTTCTGCTGCCTGAGAGGCAGACTCTGGTCCCCCAACCCGCCGACTTCTTTTGCCTGCTGTGCGGGCAGGTCCTCTGGGATGAAAGGGGGCCGTCCCAGACCCTCGCAGGCCACGCACCCCTTCTCTGTTGCAGGAGCCCTGGCCGGCCACCTGTTGTTAATCTAGCCCTGGTAATCCATTCTGTACTGTGTCAGCAGTTCAAAAGGGCACTGTTAGTATTTTTTGCCGACTTCAATTAATGTGAGATTTCAGAGGCCCCTCTGATCACATTTCATCTGTCACAAGCCGGGAACAAAACAGACAGGTTCCAGTTGAGAGGAGGAAGGAGAAGGAGTTTATTGCAAACACCAAGCAAACAGACAGTTTGGGCTGTGCCCGGCGTAGGGCGCCCCGGAGCGTCCATTTGCTTCCGCCCTCCACTTGGCCCCGTGCCTGGGCCCTAAGTCCCCTGCTCATCACATATTCCTCCCCTCCCAAAGAAGATGTAAGTGCAATAACTTACTTGAAAAGGCAAGAATGATTCTTTTAATATTTTGCTATAATGTCGTTACATGGTGGTATTAGGCAGTAAAACTTTATAGAACTGACCTCATTTTTTTTAATACATTTTTTTTCTGAGTTTTTAATGTATTTTTAATATATATTTTTAATATTCCACCCCAGGCCATTAAGCTAAAGGGAAAAGTTGCGTTTATACAGGGTTAAAAATATCTTACAATGAGAACAGTCAGTGTTGGCTGAGGTTCACGCTCCTTCTAGCACTCAGCGCTTTTCAACCACTGCACATCCAAACAGACTATTAGGCATTGAAAACCGTCCTTCAAAATCAGTAGTATAAAGGCCTAGCTCTATGTATGTACGTGAAGGGGGAGGGGGGAGGGCAAGCTTAGGTAACGTCTGGTTCACCAGAATGCCTCTTCTCCCTGCAGCATCCTTGGTGAAGGTGAAGTGGAGTCTGGGAACTCTGGCAGTAGGGTTCTTATCTTCTCCTCTTTCTCTTTTATGGCCATGGATTATTATCCTGGGGGGGGGCCGCTTTGCCAACCGTCCTCCCCCAGCTTGTCTTACTTGCCTTTGCACCTGACAGGGCCATGAAGCCGACCAGAAGCCCCGGGGTGTCCCGCGAGATGATCTCCCCACGACCTGGCCCAGAGAGACAACGGCTGCATAAGCAAGATAACCTGGTCGCTTTCGTGGAAAAACTCCTCTTGTCTACCCAGCCAAAGAGAGGGCAGGCGGGGCTCTGGAGCTGGGCCCCGTGTGGCCACTGCGGTGTGTTGCTGGGACCCACCTCACGACTGCTGCCCCCGTCCCCTAGCAGTGTCTTTGAACTCACCTGGCCACCATGCTTCCCAGAGCTGGAGGCTCGGTAGTGAGAGCTGAGAATCAAGTATAGTCGAAAGGATTCAAGAAAAGTTACAAAGCCCGTGTCCTCCAAGAGCCGTTGAAGACCTGGGGACAAGCCAGTGCCCTCTCCTCCCGGGCCCCGGGAGTGTGAGGGCATCTGAGGGTGGTGGTGGCACCTTCGTGTCAAGCCCTGGCCACGTGGCCGTGTCCCCAGCAGGGATCGGAGGCTCTCGGTGTTGAAGAGGCTGCCCAGTGGTCTGCATTTGCCATGTCTGCTGAGATCTTAGGCAAGTAGCCAAAGGGAATCCTCACCCCTTGCAGCTTATTCGCTTAGCAGTGACCCTCAGAGCAGGCTGGCTCTCCTCTCTGCCCGCCTTCCTGAGACCTTGCTCCCGGGGAAGCCAGCCAACCCCGGCGCGTCACCCAAGCTTGCTGAACCCTCGCAGGAGCTGCTGCGGGGACGCCTCCAGCCCTCGGAGGCCTGGGCCCAGCCACCCACTGGGAAGGAACCAGAGGGTAGGCTCAGGAGAGAGGGAGGACCTCCAGCAGAGAGCGGAGATGCCGTGTGAGGCACCCCCCCACAACATGTGGGCTAAGGCCGCTGCTTAGGGCAGTCACTTCACCGCCCCTGCCCCGACCCCCGGGGCTGGGACCTTCTCGTTCTCCATTGTGAAGGGACTGTACTAAGTAGAGGGCCTTTCAGTCCTTCCAGCTCAAGGGTTGTATGATTCTCAGGGTGTTGGGCCGGCCCTGGGGAGCTGGGACAGGGTGAAGATAGGCCTGGGGCAGGTGGGGCGACCTCCCTGTGGGAAGATGAACAGGCACATTTCACACGGACGTTTGACACATAAATACTTGGCCGTGTTGGTGGGAAGGACAACCAGAGCCACAGAGCCTCTTCCTCTACCAGAGGCTTTTTCTTCTCAAGCTTTTTGGTTGAAATTTGTCCGACTGAGGTGTCACCCAGCCGGAAAGCAGTCAGATAGAGGAACTGAGCACCAGGGGTCCCTTCCAGAAGGATCCACCTAGAGCCCCCTCTCTCCCTCCCCTCCTCCTCTGGCACTCTCTCGGTTTTCTTCCTCTCTCTGTTGATTCCCTCCTGGGTGAGAACATACCTACGGCAAGGGGTCCTCCCATGTCCTTCCCAGCCACCAGAGCCGTTAAGGAAGACAGGGAACTATTCCCAGCCTTATGTGCTTCCCTCTTTCCCTTCCTAGATTTGGGGAGCCTGAGTTATTTCAGTGAACCTCAGAACTGGAAGAGGCATTCCCAGATCCTCAGATATAAGAAACCTTTAAAGCTGAGCCAATGAGAACATCACCTGTACCTTCACTTTTGGAAGAGCAAATGTTAGAGCCACAGTTTGCAAAGAGGTCTGACTCTTAACGAAGGGAGCCAAAGCCAGATCCTTCCCCAGTCCTGTTTCCAGGGCAGATGGGAACACAAGGCAGAGGTGGGGACTGTGATTCCTTCTAAACCTCCAGAGGCTGTCACCCTCCACCGAAGCCAAGAGGCTGTCCTGTGGGCAGGTCCCCGAGCCTGCAGGACTTGGCCCTCCTCCCTGACAGAGAAGGTGGGGGCCTTCTCCCCAGGGGCCGCCCCGCTGGAGGGGCCTCAGAGGACAGGTGCTGTGCACCACGGGCTTAGGTGATGGCTGGGACCTGGTGCTGAAACTCGAGCTGCAAGTCTCCAGTCAGGCAGACATGGATAGAGATCCCCCACAGAAGGAGGCCCCTTCCGCAGGCAGGGAAACCCACTTCCGGGGGGCATCCTGTCTCCCACATCTGGGGCAGAGCAAGTGACCCAGAGAGGCTTGGCCCATGAGCCCCTCTAGAGGCTGGAGAGAGGGGCTGAGATTTCTGACGCCCTAGGGAAGAAGCGCAAGAGAGGGCTCTATCTTCCCTTTGTCTGGAAGAACTGGGACCCCCCCCCCCCCCCCCCGCACCCTGCCCCTGCGGAAGGCTCTGGGCAGGTCTGGTGCTACTCCAGGGACGGCTGGTGAGGGACAGGCAGCCTGAGGCAGCGTAAGGGCCGAGAGGCCGAGCGCGAGCACACATCCATTAGCAAACTCCGCACGCTGCTCTTGACCCCCCCGCCAACACGGCTCCAGGCCCTAGCTTGTGTGTTCCGAGGTATAAGTCCTTCCACGCCGGGGCACTCCTCAGCAGCCCTGGCGAGAGACCAGAATGGGTGGGGGAGGGGACAAGCATCCCCAGGTCCTCCTGGAGGGGCCTGGCTAGCTGGAGAACAGAGCTGCCCAGACCTGCCCGCTGTAACAGGCACCCTGCTGGCTGCAGGGTGTTGGACCGTCAAGGAGAGCGCAAGTGTGTGCCCGAGCCCCTGTCCCCTCCCGGACCCCTGCCCGCAGCTCTTCCTCTCTCTCTAGAAGCTTTTCTTCTTCTAGCACTGTGGGTGTCGTGGGTGGTCTGTGTCCGCTCCCCTGCGGTGTTCACCCAGATCCGGGGTCTCCGGGAGCAAGGGAGCCGGATGAGGCCCCCTCAGGGACTGTCCTAGATGCCAGCATTGCTGGATGACAGCAGGATTCTTCAGCTCCAGCTCCTTTCCTGTTCTGTCCATCCCCCCAGGTGGGTCCAGCACAGGGGACATCCAGGGTGGGTGAAGGCGAGGTGGTGCCTTGGGCCCAGGAGGTCGGATGCTGTGGGCTTTGGGAGGAGAGGAGATGGGAGGGCAGGAAGCCAACTCTGTAGGGCGGCCTGTTCTTCAGACACGTTCACTGGCCTGGTGACCAGGGGACCACACAGCAGAGGGAAGGACGGACATGACTGCACGTGGCCGCTGCTCGGTCTGGATGGGAATCTATCCTTGACTCAACCCTCAAACCGGGCAGGGCAGAAGAGCAGGGGTGGGGAGAAAGGGTCTTCAGCTTATAATGGATGCAAAGCTGCAAAACTCGGCCACCTGGCTTCCTCCGCTGCCTCTGGCCAGGAGCAGGGGTCTCGGCCTCAGTGCCAGAGAGGGCGGGGCCTGCTGCCCCCTCCCTCCCAGCGGTCCGTGGGGCCTCACACTTGGGGCGGCTGAAAGTGCTGAGGGCCAGGCCCCTGGCCCAGGCCAGGTTCCTAAGAGGAAAGTCGAATGGGAGGCTGGGGGCCTGGAAAGCATGGGCGTGGCCAGTGCCCCGAGGTGGGGGAGGGCGTGGGGATGGGCTGCGAGGGGCCCTGTCATGTGGCCCAGGAGATGGCCGCGCTGTGCTCCTTGGCCTTCATGCGGAGGGCCGCGATGCTCGAGGTCTTGCGGTCCGGCTCCCCGTTGAGCTCATAGCCATTGAGGCCCGGGCTGAGCCCTGCTGCTCCAAACAGGCCACCCATGTGTGTCTGGCCCACATGACCGCCGGCCCCAGAGACACTCAGGAAGTCGGTGACGCCACTGGTCCCCGAGCCAGGCGGGTGGGTGTGAGGGGACATGCAGGCAGGCACCGGGTCGCAGGGGACCACGCAGGCTGGCACCGGTGAGGCGGCCCCATTGTTGCCGATCCAGGATGGGTTCTGAATCTGGGGGGAGGGAAGGGAGAGGTGTCACAGGCTTGGCTGGGACAGGGGTGGGGGTGGCGGGTATGCAAGGGGCTTGCTCCTACCCCCGGATGACCTGTCCCCGCCTAGGGGCCCATCCTTACGAGGAGATCATTCTTGAGTGTTCACCTGGGAGTCTCTCAAAACCTTTATGGCCATCCAGACCTAGGAGGGTTTGGGTTTTATGCTTTGGCTCCTCTGTTCCCAGCAGAGAGAAATTCTGTTTTAGGGACTGAACTTCAAACTTCATCAAAGGTCCAGTAACAGGGACCTTCCCGGCACAGCTAACCAGCTGAGGGCAGCCCCCGCCTCAGCCAGCTGACGTGCAAATTTTAGATGCAGTTGCAGACTTTGTCTCTCCCTCCATGAGCCCCTTAAGGTCAGTAATAGCATCTTACTTGCCTGTGGTTCCTCATCAGGCCTGGGGCATCCCAGGTACCTGAGAAATGGGAGCTGACCCAAACCCAGAGAGCTCTGGCGTTGGGAACATGGGCTCTGGGTGTGCGGGCTGTGGTGTGCAGGGGGCAGGGCCAGGCAGGGGGGCCAAATCTCCCCCATGACCCGTGGTTAAGGGTCCAAGGGCTGTGTCCTTGAGGCTTCAGAATTTAGGATGGACGGGGCCACCTCAGAAGGCTGGGAGTGCACATGAGGGGATGGATGGAGCCAGGCTGGTTGCCCACGTGCCAGGGTGTGTGTGTGTGTGTGTGAGAGAGAGAGAGGCGGGGGTGCTCAGGCAGCAGGTGGGGGTAGACTGGAGGCAGGCCTGTGGTGTGGAGGGGCAGGGTGAGCAGGACCAGAGGAGATGGTGACCTCCCAGCCATGTGCAGGGGATTCCTGGTGGCCCTCAGGCAGCTTCTGCTGGCCGGCTCCCCTCCCCACCCAGTGTTTGCAGTCCACACGGGGCAGGGATTCCAAAGCCAAGTGAGGAAAGATGGCTGCCCCCGAATCTCCACGAGGCATTGCCACGGCAACAAGAACTGTTGGCAGATGGGCCTGACCGCCTTCCTCCTGGTTGGGGTGACGAGGAATCAGGGGCCTCGCCCCTCCCCTCGGTCAAAAGGCTGATGTGTGATACGCGGTGCTGCAGGTGGGAGGGATGAGGCCGCCCTGGGCTGTCCGCCCCCCATCCCCCCCCTCCAGGAGAGAGCTCGGGCAGCAGAGATGCTGGCCCAGGAGCCAGGCTGGAGGCCCAGCTTCCCGGGACAGAGGGAGGGGAAAGATCAAAGTAGGCAGCAGGAACTGAGGACGAGGTGTGTGTGTGAGAAGGAGAGAGAGAGAGAGAGAGAGACCCCACATTCCTCAGCCTCACCCAGCCCTGCCCCCTGCCCCCTCACTTGAATCCTGGGAGGCCGAGGGGCAGAGCTGGTCCAGGAGGGGTGCCCAGGGGCTGTGGGACAGCAGGGCCCTGACGGAGAGTCTTAAAGGAGACAGGAAGGCCTGGCTTACTGCCGCGTGGGGCCAGGCCCGGAGCTGAAGGCAGAGGCCATGCTGCCACCAGCATCAAGAGGCCCGAGGGGAGGGAACGGTCACCTCCACCAGACAGACTGAGGGGTGTGAGGAGTGGACTCAGCCAGAGGGACATCTCAGCTCCGGGTGCCGGCCACTACTCACACTCTTCTCGTCCCTTTGCCTCCCACTGAAGACTCCAGTGTCACTAGAATGGGGGCTGGCTGACGGGACGGGACGGAGGGGAGGATGGGACACAGTCGCCTGGGAGAGCTGAGGGCTGTAGCGTGACCTTTATCGGGCTGTTCATTCCCCCAAGTACTTCTGCGTTGTCTAATCTCTGCCTTTCAACAACCTCACGAAAGAGTTGGGGAGGGTCCTTTTATCATGTCGGTTTTTGGGTGAAGGAACCAAGGCTCAGAGAGCTCGTGGCTTGTCTGAAGTGAGAAAGGTCTGGGGCCGGAAAACAGCCCGTCTCGGGACTCAGACTCCCATGCGCGCTACAGCCTTGCGTCACGCCCGCCAGGTTTCAGGAGCTTGCTTCCCTAGGAAACACTCCAAGTGGCTCCTGATGGCCCGGAGGCCCTGGTCAGCAGCCTGCCCTGGATCTGACATCCACAGCAAAAACAGCAAAAGTGGCAGAGGGGAAAGCCGTCCTCTCTGTCCCACCCTGCCCCTCCCTCATGTCCAGCCAAGCCTGGGCCAGCACTTAACATTGGGCAGGAAAGGCCTTGGGCCTCCCACATTCAGGTATGAACACACCTGGACTGGGCCTCATGTGTCCCATCTCAGGGGACCCAAGCCCTCCTCTGAGGTGCCCATTCCCAGAGCCCCAGGAGCCTGGGGGGCTGGAGCCGGCGGCTCGGGGCCGGGGCTTACCTGGGCGTAATTCTCAGCTCGGGTGAGGAGGGGCAGCTCGTAGGCGGTGGAGAAGTGGGTTCGGACCTGCTGCATCTGTCCAAAACGCTCTCTCTTCCTCCACTTGGCCCTTCGGTTCTGGAACCAGACCTACAAGGCAAAGCAATTGCCACAAGGGGTCACGCAGTGCAAGCTGGTCCCTCGAGCCCCCACCCATCACAGTGCATGGTCAGGGCCACAGGGCTGCGGGGAAGTGTCTGCCTCAGTCTTTGGCCTCAAGGCTTATAATCTAGAATGATCAGTGCTGAGAGTCAGGAAGGCAGCGTACCCCCAACTAACCACAATGTGATCTTGGGCCAGACTTCATTTTTCCAAGCTGCAGAATCCAGAGCAGGCAAGTGTCACACACACACAGCATATCACCGGCCACCTTACCAGGTCATCTAACCAACCCCAGCGCCGTGTGGCCGAACCTGCTGCAGGCCACAGACTCCTGTGGGCAACCCGACAAAAGCTGTGACCGCTCCTCTAGAAACTCGTCCCCTAGCCACTCACGCACACAGTCTTGCCATGATTTTCCAAAACGTCCATGGTCCCCTGGGGCCTATTGGCCCAGCATCAGAATTCCTACCTGTCTGAATACCCTCTGAAGCCTTCTTGTTGGAAAACCTCCCCACTCAGGACCTCTGTGCTAAAGCTTCTATGGAGAACAGGGGTTCTGCTGGGTAGCAGAGGCAGTCAGGGGCGGCTTCATGGAGGGGAGGGCTGAGGGGAGGGCCTGAGTGTAGAAACAGCAGGGCATCCTCAACCCCAGGAAGCCATGCTGCCCAGCTGGGGGGCGGCGGGAGAGAAAGAATCGTGGACGCAGAGGTCACATTGTGGAGGACCTCGTTGCTTAGTAGAGGGGTTTGCTCTTGGTGTGGTCAGTAAAAGTGGCCACTGCAAGGTCTCATGCAGAGGGTGGCCCGACTCTGGGGAGGAGTGAGGGCCCACCCGTCACTGGGCAGGGGCGGGTGGGACGTTGGCTTGAGCGGGGACCTGGTGGGGAGGGTGGTCTCTGAGCCAGGCGTGTGAGCTGTGGTCTTTGATGGGCGGGTGGGGGCTGTCGGGTCCTTTTCCTTTGCGGGAACGTCCCTGGCAGGCTGAGACCCTTCCCAAGGTTCACGGACGAGAGCTGGACTTGAGGCCTGCTGCTGCTGCCTGTGACTTGGGATCTGGGGCAGAGACCGGCGGGAAGAGGATGTGAGGAGGCTTTGGGCCGAGTTGTCAAAGGCAGACCTCAGAGATCCCCAGGGAGAGGTTCCTGTCAGCTGGAAGTTCACCTGCCGGTCGATACAGGTGCAGGTGGGCACACATCAACAGCAGGTCACTGGCAGCCGGCACCCTCGAAGAGGGAGGAGCTGGGCCCGAGGGCTCCCAGGGTAGCACGGGGTCTGCTCAGCCTGCTCTGGCTCCTGGTGTAGCTGGGCAACACGGTGCCCATTTGGGCGTTGCCACTGGCCGCAGTTTCTGTATCTGGAAAATGGGGCCAATATCTGAACTGACGTCCTCACAGGGGTTGGGCCTCACAGAGCAACAGGTGAGACAGATGAGAAATGTCCTAGTTTTTAAGATACTTCACACTTGTTTATTGACAGCTCCTGACCTTTCTTGCTGTCTTTTGCTAAAGGAAAGAGGACAAAAAAGTTGGGGTGTGTGTGTGTGTGTGTGTGTGTCTCACGTTAGTGTGAGGACAGTGGGGGCAGGGAGGGAGTGCGGGGCTGCACCTCAGTGTCCCTCCCTAGACCCAAGGATACTTGTGCGTGCACAACTGCTTCTCTCTCTCTCTCTCTCTCTCTCACACACACACACACTTGCCGGCATTGCTTTCAGAGTCCTTCTTCCCTGTCTTGACTCTCGTGTAAGAGAAGCACTCAGCCCCTGCCCCA